GAATACTGCCCCACCACCATTCTTTCTGTTATCCATTTATATTTCCAGTTTTGCAGTAATTTTGCTTATGCAGCTGGTGTCCTGAACAGAGAAACTGAGAAACAAGAGTTTTTTCTTTGGAGATATAAAATCTGCACACTGTGTGGATGTTTTGAATTACAAATTTAGGAAGACAACAGTACCATTAAAAGACCATGGTGAATTGGGGTGCATCAATCACTTTACCCATCAAATAACATCAGGAGAAGTAACATATTAAAAGTAATAGGCAAGTAGTAGTGAAAGTGCTCAGAACAAGATAAAATAACAAGGATGGTGAGGAGCTCCAAATAGTTGCTTCCCCAAAATTGTGTAATTATTTGGGAATTCCTCTCTGGGTATAGTCTGTTTATATGGCCTACTCTTTACAGTGAGCATCAAGAAATCGTAAAGAAACTGCTATCTCACAACATGGAAGAACTGACCATGTCCTGAGGCATTTGGTTATTTGACCTAGCATGAGCAAATTGCCCCTCCATACTCACTGAGATATCTATAATTGGTTTTCATTTTTTTTCTATTAAAAAAAACCCCAGTTTACAATAATTGGTGCATTAATGGGATAATACCTTCATCTGTAGAACTGATATGGCCTTCTACCATTGCAGTTTGCTTAACTCTTTACAGAGTTTGCTACTATATTGGTAAACATTTCTTTAAATGCTTTATTTAAGCAATTGAAGCCATGTAAAATTCAGCAGATAAACACAGAGGCATATCAAGGGTCCCTTGCACCCTTGGCAAGGAAGCTGTATTGGTGCCCCCCCCAATCACTTTACCACAATACCATATTAGAAATTCCTACATTTTACACAACCAAGTACCCAAAGCATCCGGAGTGAGAGTGAGGTGAAGAGAAGAGGAAAGGTGGGAAAAAATGCATGCCTTTCTGTTGCGGTGTGAGAAGAACGGGAAGCTTCTGCGTTTGAGCTCGCTGCAATAGCAGTGTCGTGTTGCCATGTATATATATATATGTCATACACTCCATAGCTTGGTAGCTGGTTTTTGGCCCCCACCCCTGACCTGGGCCCCTGATTTCGCAAACCCCTAATTACACCTCTGGGTAAACAGGAATATATATGACCAAATAGAAAAGAGAAAAAAGATGATAGTTTTTAAAATAAGTTATTTTAATGAAATGGAAGTACTACTGCTAGTTTAGTATTGCAAGAGAATAAAACGAAGTGGAATCTAGAATGTGGCTTCTTCACACATTAACACTGAGGGCTGCTTTCCTTGTGACATTTTAATCCTGTGAGAGGTGGATGCACACACCCCTCCAGATACACTCTATGATTGGCCACTGTGAGAGGAGGATGCTGGACTAGATGGGCCTTTGGCATCACCTAGCAGGGTTTGTAAACACTGCAGGAACAATGTCACATTTCAAAATGCTCCAATTCCTGGATGCTGTGTAGCTGCACCCCAAAATGACTTAATCGAGAGTTCATCCCCCATTAAAGATCAACCAATGCCTATAACAATACTACAGGATGAGCAAGTCACATATTGATGCTCATAGAACTTGTTATGGTTCCACACTGTCCCTTATCTTTTTTAACTAGGTATTAAGACTAAGGGCACTTCCAGATTGTCACTGTTTTTGAGTAGAATTCAATCACATACTGGAAAATACAGGTTGCAGAATTACAGCTGATTATGAAGTACTGTGCAACAACCTGCTCCCCCACCCCCCCACAGATTTTTTGCAGTAAGGGAAGTGCCAGGAAGTGTGGGATAACACTTGTTTTGATGCAAGGTCATCTAACCTTCCTGCAAAGAAATGAGAATGAATGCTCAATGAACAGGTTGTTTGGTCCTAAGGCAGCTGCAACATGATCTTTCAGCTTTCCTGCAACCTGGAACACTTGATTAGATTAGATTTACAGCTTTGCATGTGTATCTACGTTGCTCAGGGCAGGGGGACTTCACCTGCATCTGGGTAGTGATTCAGTGCACTAAAAGTACATCTGAAATGGGTCCGGTTTGTGAAGTTCTCAGCTGTTCAGGTCAATGGGATTCTGCTAACAGAAAGAAGGAAGGAAATCTTCCATGTAGAATTGTGTTTTCCATTTGTACACCATTTATATACCTCTTTGAGTCCCCCTCCCCCTTTCTACAGAATATGTAATACACACATAGAGGCAAGAGAACTTTCATCCCTTCCACACCTGATAATAACTAAACCACAACTGTATACTTATGTAGATAGGAAATGTAATAAAAAAGGGACAAGACATTGAGTGCACTCATAAAGATACAAATGAATGTAGAAAAGGCATGAACAATGATAATTACAAATGTGTAAATGCATAAAGCCCTCTTATGGAGGAATATATATAATCTGGAGGGGGAGGAAACATATGCCCAATATGAAAAAAATAAAATAAGCTAAACCAAAACTATCAGTTCTATAAACAGAAGCCTGGCCTGCAAGCAGAAATTCTTTCACATGGAGACACAATTGAGTGAGAGAGCCTCTGACACTGTACAGAATTACAAAGTGAAGTTCACAAGCTGGTCAAAAGCCATTTCATAAGGCTTTCACAGACATTTTCCTATGGCAGCATCCTTCAGAATTAGAGCTGGGAGGGAAAGGCTCGTAGGCTATGCAAGGGAACAACTACACAAACAAGTTCAGATTGACTCTATACTTATTCCTCATTTATGTAAAAAACAAAACCTCATTGATGCAATGGTTTACAATTAGAAGATGGAAAACTATGCTAAGGACTGTGTCAGGGAAGAATGCAAATGTGTGTATATGTTTAGTAATATCCTCAAATTCCAGACTCAGGGCTGGGCTCAGCTAACCAGTTCCACCAGTGGAAGCCCACACAAGGACTTCTGCTAGCGCAATGGGGCTTTCTTCCCTTCAGTGCCCCATATCCTCCCCCACTGGCTCAGGGATGAGGTGTCAGGAGAACCCCTGGAACCGTGGACAGCAAGAGGAAAGGGTAGATTGTTTAATTAGGAAAGCAGAACAGCTTGCACTAACAAAATGACCTGCATTGTATTCCTCCCATTATAAATAATGCAAATTAGATACATTTGCAGAAATTTACTTTGTACTATTTATTCTAACATATGATATCTTGGGAAGAGGAAGTAAGGATGTAGGAATTGGGAGCTAGAGGAGAATAAGTAGAGGGACAGAGCTAAAAACACCAGTTAAGGGTTTCATTAGATTCTCTATTATTATAAGGTTGCATTCAGTTCCACAAAGACAAAGTTCCATACTTTGCTGTGGGATCATAAGGGATACTAAATTTTTGAAAATGATGGCTGCCAATAAAGAACATTTTATAGCTGACCGTGGATTCAGGGGTGGGGTGGGAGATGACTGAATACATAAATGGGTTCCAAGTCTGTATATGTCAGTAGAGAGTGACGGAAATTAATTTCCACCTTGAACTAGTTAACACCAAATCCCCCACTGCGCAGAGATAAAGTGGTCTGCTTGTACTAGAGCAGCCAATAATGCCACCACAGACATGGGAATGGTGATGTGATAAAATCTATAATAGGCTTAGTGTCTAACATAAATGAAATATGTAACACCATACAAGAATTAAATATGTAATATATAGTTCTGTACTGATGTGTCTATAGGGAATGTCTATATCTAGTGAACCAGGACTCTCCAAGTCTGGAAATACTGCTGCTCCTCCATTGCCCAAATTCATTCATTGCTTCTTCCCCCTCCCATGATAGCTGAGTTGAAACAAGAGCAGAAGCAAACAAGGCTGCATATCAGGAAGAAACTCAGCTAAGACACATCTATTTTTATCTGACCTGAAATGAAGCTTATTACGGCAAAGTATTTGAATGGAGGCTGAATACTGAGCGGAGGCTGCAGCTCTCTACACACATCCATCTGGTGGCAGAACAGTCCTGTTTCACCCAGGGAACTGCATCCAATATCTAATTGAGGGTGGCAGGGCAGTGGGGGGCAAATACAGAATCAGATCAAGGAAGTGTGCTAGTGCCAAATGCAAGGACTATATCCCGCATCAAAATGCTTGGCATCTATCTTCACATCCAAGGAGTTCGCCATCTGTTCCACAGGGGTTCCCTACTGTGGATTCCTCAAGGATGAAGGGAAAGTGGGCTCCACTGAACAAATGTAGTGCTGCATAAGGGGCGGAGTGTAGTCTCTCAGCAGAGTGTCTCCACAATCTGTTCTTCCCTTCAGTACTGGTCTGAAAAGAATGAAGCATGGAGGAGGGAGGGACTGGCTCCCTCAGTGGGTGGAGTGCAGCTGCCTTCCTCCGACTGTTCTGACAGTTCCCCATATTCACTGTTGTAAAAAGTCTGGCCTCTGAGCTGGGACTGGTACGATGGCCGACACCTACCCCTCAGGTCTGATTGATCCACTATTGATTCTGCATTTCGACTGGATCCTTTACTGCTGTTGGGGGTGGGGGAAGAAAGAAAGAGCAAGAGACAGGAAGTCAGTTCTTCTGAGTAAGAGATAGTATTCTAATTGACTGTCCAGGGGGAAAAAAAAAAGCTTCTTAGCATCAGAAAGCTCAGGGCAAGCACAGCTAGCCATTTAGCAGGTTGGTAATTCTACAAGATGTGTGAAGTTACATGATAGAAGACTTATGTGAACCACCCTCAGACCTCCGGGTATAGGGCAGTATATAAAATTCATAAACAAACAAACAAATAAATGCATAGAGCATCTTTCCAATAAAAAAGTGAAGGTGGTGCACCAGAAATGAGATGCAAGAATGTAGTTTTTTTGTAAACCTTACTGCTGTCAGGAACTTGATTTCATATAGGAAAACTGGATTCAGCTACTGGCAGATTATCCCTAAACAGACTTACTAGAGAGTAAGCCCCATAGAGTTTATAGGATTGCACTGTAATATCACTTCTTCAAAGCAGGAAGTTTCATTTAAAAAAACAACCAAATAACATGTATCTCTGTATACTGATTTTCTTATTGCTTTTAGACCTACCAGCGATGTACCTCATGCTCACCACCAAGGATTTCATTGTTCTTATCCACCATTTCTATGGGAGGATTTGAACGAAGCCAGGAACTATATAAGCCAGTTAAGTATCACCAATGGTTTTGAGTATCAGCTGAGTTACGCTTTGAGCTTTAATAAATATTGTATTTTCCCTGTGATTCTTCCCTCCTTTGTCAGACTTCAGAAAGTCTGACTTTTCTCAGTAGTGGTTCTATTTCCACAGGTACAGATGTCTTTAGTGCTACTCTTACATCTTTTTAAAAAGGGTAGAGTATTGACATGGGCAGTGACATATCAGAAAAGTGAACCTATTGCAACTCAGCACATATTAATTATAATTTTTACAGTGAACATCATGTTTGTCCCTATTTTTTGTTTATTTCAGTCAATCTTATGGTTAATGAAACATAACAGGATGTATACATAGAACAAATGCAATACTCCTGATAGTATGGAAAGTGAATTGGACTTCCCCTTGTAGCTTAGGAGCTCCCCATCTGGCAGCAGACTAAGTCTCAATTATTTCAGTGGGAGAAGCAGATTAATTCTCTTCCTGAAATCAATGGAACCTAGCCTAGTTTTGTTCTGTATGTTCTAAAAGTAGCCATAAAATAGTGCCTTGATGGTTTGAGTTGTCATTTGATGTCATATCTACTGTCGAATGCATAACAACTACAGAAACATTTCACACTAGCTGGGGAAAGAATCACATTTTCCCAATGGCATTATATTGCAGTTTGAGCATTGGGAATATGTGACATTTCCACAAGAAAAGTGTTTCCTTGAAAGAACTGTACCTTTGCTGCTTGACTGTCTGGAAAGCTCCTTGATTTCTTGCTGTATTTCATGCCCGTGTAATATGCTTCCTCTCTTTATTTCCTTGCACAGAGTCAACTGACTCCACTCAAAAGCCATTAAGCTCAATCAACCCTTTTTGTTACAAATGCCATCAGGAATGCTGCCGCCAGCAGCAGGTTACAGGAGAATGGATGCGCTTGCATTTCTGTGCTCCCAGCACATTTACAGGAGGCTGCAGTGAGGTTTGCTGCAGAGGACACTGCTGGGTATTGTATGTTACTGAGGGCTGTGAGATATAGCGAGGAGAACTAAATAACCAAGTACCTGAATGCACTTTCTTTTCTGTGTCTATTTTCTATCCTCTCAAACTCCTCAGATGCCAAAACCATCCCACTGTCTGTCTGATTGTCCTGCAAGGGAGCAGAAAAAAATAATAAAAAGTGTTAGAAGTGCCAGCCTTGTTGAGCAAGCATTCTGAATTTTTTTCACCAGGAACCTTTCCTCTGATGGATGGAGACTGAAAAGCAAATGTAGGGCAGGGAACAGCTGCAGATGATGAGCAAGAAGAGTGGAGCTTAACTCAGCCTGTAAAACTTAGAAGCCTGTACAAATTTTTATAAGCATGTTATAGAGCATGTTGAATTTTTCAACTTTCAAAAATGAGGGGTGCTAAAAAATTGTAACACAACTTCGGAATTCAAAAGATATTTTGGTTAAATTAATATAATTAAGTTTTGCTTGGTAAGTAAAATGTGTGTAAAATTGCATAGAAATCATTAAAAATGATTGCCAAGTACTTGTACTTATATTATATATTAGTATTTATTATTATTAGTTATTATTAGTTGTTCTTGTTTTGTTCTTGTTATGTTGCATTACCTGACATTTTCAGAAGGTAAAATTTAAATTCTTTGGTTTTCTGAAGGCAGTGTGTGTGCTTCTTCATCAGAAATAGACTTACCAAACCAAATGTTGTCCAATCACAAAAATAATAGCAGATTTGAATTAACACACCCCACCACCACCATTAATACAGTGGTGCCTCGCAAGACGAAATTAATTCGTTCCGCAAGTTTTTTCTTCTTGCGAGTTTTTCGTCTTGCGATGCACGGTTTCCCATAGGAATGCATTGAAAATCAATTAATGCGTTCCAAGGGAAACCGCCTTCAGACCAGGTCCGGGGACAGTCTCTCCCCCGACCTCTTCTGAAGGCTGGGGGGGGGGGAACAAGGGCTTCTGAAGGCTGGGGGGGGCTGGGGGGGAACAAGGGCTTCGCTGCCGACCCCCAGCATTTTAAAATCTCACCGGGACACGGGGAGATTTTAAAATGCTGGGGGCGGCAGCGAACGCTTCGCTGATCCCGGGATGGCAGGCAGATCTGCACCGCCATCCAGAGCGGGGCAGGACTTAGCGCCCCGCTCGGGATGGCGGCACAGATCTGCCTGCAGTCCCGGGACGGCAGACAGCTCTGCGCTGGCATCCAGAGCGGGGCGGGACTTAGCGCCCCGCTCGGGATGGCGGCACAGATCTGCCTGCAGTCCCGGGACGGCAGACAGCTCTGCGCTGGCATCCAGAGCGGGGCGGGACTTAGCGCCCCGCTCGGGATGGCGGCACAGATCTGCCTGCAGTCCCGGGACGGCAGACAGCTCTGCGCTGGCATCCAGAGCGGGGCGGGACTTAGCGCCCCGCTCGGGATGGCGGCACAGATCTGCCTGCAGTCCCGGGACGGCAGACAGCTCTGCGCTGGCAACCAGAGCGGGGCGGGACTTAGCGCCCCGCTCGGGATGGCGGCACAGATCTGCCTGCAGTCCCGGGACGGCAGACAGCTCTGCGCTGGCATCCAGAGCGGGGCGGGACTTAGCGCCCCGCTCGGGATGGCGGCACAGATCTGCCTGCAGTCCCGGGACGGCAGACAGCTCTGCGCTGGCATCCAGAGCGGGGCGGGACTTAGCGCCCCGCTCGGGATGGCGGCACAGATCTGCCTGCAGTCCCGGGACGGCAGACAGCTCTGCGCTGGCATCCAGAGCGGGGCGGGACTTAGCGCCCCACTCGGGATGGCGGCACAGATCTGCCTGCAGTCCCGGGACGGCAGACAGCTCTGCGCTGGCATCCAGAGCGGGGCGGGACTTAGCGCCCCGCTCGGGATGGCGGCACAGATCTGCCTGCAGTCCCGGGACGGCAGACAGCTTTGCGCGGCCATCTGGAGCGGGGCGGGCTTCGCCCCCGGCTCCCGATGGCCGCGCAGAGCTGCGCTGATCCCGGGACGGCAGACAGCTCTGCGCCGCCATCCCGAGCGGGGCGGGACTTAGCACCCCGCTCGGGATGGTGGCGCAGATCTGCCTGCAATCCCGCAACTGCAGGCAGCTTTGCGCGGCCATCTGGAGCGGGGCGGGCTTCGCCCCCGGCTCCCGATGGCCGCGCAGAGCTGCGCTGATCCCGGGACGGCAGACAGCTCTGCGCCGCCATCCCGAGCGGGGCAGGACTTAGCACCCCGCTCAGGATGGTGGCGCAGATCTGCCTGCAATCCCGCGACTGCAGGCAGCTTTGCGCGGCCATCTGGAGCGGGGCGGGCTTCGCCCCCGGCTCCCGATGGCCGCGCAGAGCTGCGCTGATCCCGGGACGGCAGACAGCTCTGCGCTGGCATCCAGAGCGGGGCGGGACTTAGCACCCCGCTCGGGATGGTGGCGCAGATCTGCCTACAATCCCGGGACGGCAGACAGCTCTGCGCTGGCATCCAGAGCGGGGCGGGACTTAGCGCCCCGCTCGGGATGGCGGCACAGATCTGCCTGCAGTCCCGGGACGGCAGACAGCTCTGCGCTGGCATCCAGAGCGGGGCGGGACTTAGCGCCCCGCTCGGGATGGCGGCACAGATCTGCCTGCAGTCCCGGGACGGCAGACAGCTCTGCGCTGGCAACCAGAGCGGGGCGGGACTTAGCGCCCCGCTCGGGATGGCGGCACAGATCTGCCTGCAGTCCCGGGACGGCAGACAACTCTGCGCTGGCATCCAGAGCGGGGCGGGACTTAGCGCCCCGCTCGGGATGGCGGCACAGATCTGCCTGCAGTCCCGGGACGGCAGACAGCTCTGCGCTGGCATCCAGAGCGGGGCGGGACTTAGCGCCCCGCTCGGGATGGCGGCACAGATCTGCCTGCAGTCCCGGGACGGCAGACAGCTCTGCGCTGGCATCCAGAGCGGGGCGGGACTTAGCGCCCCGCTCGGGATGGCGGCACAGATCTGCCTGCAGTCCCGGGACGGCAGACAGCTCTGCGCTGGCATCCAGAGCGGGGCGGGACTTAGCGCCCCGCTCGGGATGGCGGCACAGATCTGCCTGCAGTCCCGGGACGGCATACAGCTCTGCGCTGGCATCCAGAGCGGGGCGGGACTTAGCGCCCCGCTCGGGATGGCGGCACAGATCTGCCTGCAGTCCCGGGACGGCAGACAGCTTTGCGCGGCCATCTGGAGCGGGGCGGGCTTCGCCCCCGGCTCCCAATGGCCGCGCAGAGCTGCGCTGATCCCGGGACGGCAGACAGCTCTGCGCCGCCATCCCGAGCGGGCGGGACTTAGCACCCCGCTCGGGATGGTGGCGCAGATCTGCCTGCAATCCCGCGACTGCAGGCAGCTTTGCGCGGCCATCTGGAGCGGGGCGGGCTTCGCCCCCGGCTCCCGATGGCCGCGCAGAGCTGCGCTGATCCCGGGACGGCAGACAGCTCTGCGCCGCCATCCCGAGCGGGGCAGGACTTAGCACCCCGCTCAGGATGGTGGCGCAGATCTGCCTGCAATCCCGCGACTGCAGGCAGCTTTGCGCGGCCATCTGGAGCGGGGCGGGCTTCGCCCCCGGCTCCCGATGGCCGCGCAGAGCTGCGCTGATCCCGGGACGGCAGACAGCTCTGCGCTGGCATCCAGAGCGGGGCGGGACTTAGCACCCCGCTCGGGATGGTGGCGCAGATCTGCCTGCAATCCCGCGACTGCAGGCAGCTTTGCGCGGCCATCTGGAGCGGGGCGGGCTTCGCCCCCGGCTCCCGATGGCCGCGCAGAGCTGCGTTGATCCCGGGACGGCAGACAGCTCTGCGCCGCCATCCCGAGCGGGGCGGGACTTAGAACCCCGCTCGGGATGGTGGCGCAGATCTGCCTGCAATCCCGTGACTGCAGGTAGCTTTGCGCGGCCATCTGGAGCGGGGCGGGCTTCGCCCCCGGCTCCCGATGGCCGCGCAGAGCTGCGCTGATCCCGGGACGGCAGACAGCTCTGCGCCGCCATCCCGAGCGGGGCGGGACTTAGCGCCCCGCTCGGGATGGTGGCGCAGATCTGCCTGCAGTCCCGCGACTGCAGGCAGCTTTGCGCGGCCATCCCGAGCGGGGCGGGACTTCTCTGCTGTCCCGGGGAGATTTTAAAATGCTGGGGGTCGGCAGCGAACGCTTCGCTCCCGCCCGCCAGCATTTTAAGATCGCCCGGGGCAGCGGAGAAGTCTCCGCTGTCCCGGGAAGGCAGGCGGGGGGGAGCAAAGACTTTTGCCCCCCGCCGGCCTTCAGAAGAGGTCCAGGACCTCTTCTGAAGGCCGGCTGTGGGCGAAAGTCTTTGCTCCCGACCGCCAGCAATTTAAAACAGGTCCCCGGAGATTTCCCTATGGGCTTTCGTCTTGCGAAGCAAGCCCATAGGGAAATTCGTCTTGCGAAGCGCCTCCGAAACAGAAAACCCTTTCGTCTTGCGGGTTTTCCGTCTTGCGAGGCATTCGTCTTGCGGGGTACCACTGTACAGCAAATACCTTTATCTGGGATGTAGTTGCCTAAATATAATGAGGATGGGTAGTCCCTATATTCTATTTTTAGAAGAGTTTCCTCAATACACATCTAGCTTTCATGCCAACTGTAAATCATGGTGTTAGCAATTTGTGTGAATCTTGAAGTGTGGCAGAAAACACAGTTTAACTTGTCTTTAGACTGCAGTAATGGACAAATATACATTGAACTGTTTATTTTTCAATTTTTCCTTCTGTCTCACTACCACTTTGCTCCACTCACCGGATGTGCTTTATACATGGTTTGTGTCATAGGAAATTCTTCAAAAGTCTTTATTCTGGATGGACACCTTATCTGATTCCCACCAGTTAAACAGCCAGGGAAAGACACACAGTTATAATATCTGGGAAAGGACATAAAGTAAAGGGTGAATCAGAAAAGATACTGGTGGAACATACACATTAAATAAGGAAATCTTCACTTTGTGCTCTTCTGGCCAGCAATACTGGGTCAGTTAAAACATAAAATTCTGCAGAAAAAAACTAGCATAGTCTGAATGTGTTATTACCCTTTC